ACCATATCATCTGTGCTTTTACAAGCTATTATGGGAACTGGGTGGGATCTGAGAAACACCCTGCAAGCTTCATTTGATGAGTTGAACCATTTATCATTACCAGCACAAATCTCCCAACCATTTAGTGGAGAAGATTATAACTTAAGCTCAAAACAGCACTGAGGTCCGCTCTATAGTCATGTACCGTAGATGATAATTTGAGTTTGAGTTTGTACATGGTCTGTGTGATCCACCCAAATACCCTAAAACATCAACAGCGCAGTGAAACAACGTGCCTACTGCAAAATCCCCAAATGCAAAACTATCATAATCAGTGTTTGTACTTAGTGTTAAATTAACACGTACAATTAAATATTGCAGTATTCATTGTAGCGTACATTGCTTTAAAAAAAATAAAATAAAATTAATCATGCCTAGCATAAAGCAATAGCTCAATAACTTTTTAATAGCAAATAATGAGAGAGAGAGAAAAAATCTGTGTTAACTATGGCTTACTATACAGACGTTATCTCAATTTTCAGCACAGATATTCTCGGCAAGATGAGTTATTAATTTTTTAATAAGTTTCAAAGCCTACCTGGTGAGGCTCATGATAGCACACACAGTGGTGACAGGTCTTTGTACACATCACTGTAGGTTTTCTGTTTTAATCCATTATAGTCCAAAGCCAACCTCTCTAATGAAAGTGTGCTGTTTCTATTGGCCAGAGTCTGGAATTTGTGTCTCGTGATCTGAAATTTCGCGAGCACATCGACCACTCAACTCAACTCATTGAGTCAGATTAATAAAGGGAATGGAGGGGAGGGGCTCTGTAAAACACTCCCAGCGCTGTCTAGTCAGACAGGTATTCTCAAGCACCTGGTTTATCTGGCTCTCGTTTCTTTTGGTAGGCCTATATTATGTAACAGGGTTGAATAACGCCAGGGTTGAGGCAACCTAGGGAGCACAGCACAGTCAATGTCTTGTCAACCTCGCCAACGCAACATCTGACGTCAAAGCACATCTCTGCGTGACCTGTTACTCCTTTACAATTCATGCAGATTTAATGTTTAGCATATTTAGTTCATTAAAATTTGTAAATCATTGTAGTGTTGTAGGCATTTCCTCAAGTCCCTTGAGTAGAGAAACTATAAAGCCAGTGCAGTTATAGGTATATCAAATCAGATACTCTTCAATTATCCTAAACATAACTCAGATGGTGCCACCCCTTAGTGTGCTCTTAGGGTTTGAAAACATCAGCAACACTTCTGGGATTTTTACCATGTGACTTACACGATAGATCTAATGCAAAGTATATTGTTACACAAAGATTTTTTTTAAAGTGCATTGCTGCTTAAATTCATAAGTATTCACCTTTCCCAGGCGTAATACTTGGTAGAACCACTTTTGGCTGCAGTTACAGCTGCAAGTCTTCTGGTATGTGTCTCTTTCAGCTTTGCCCATTTGGATCCTTTTGCCCATTCTTCTTTTGCAAAATTGGTCAATCTCTGTCAGATTGGATGTTTGGTAAACAGCAGTTTTCAAGTCTTCCCACAGATTCTCAGCTGGATTAAGGTCTGGGCTTTGTCTGAGCCATTCTGACATGTAAGCATTCTTGGTTTTGAACCACTCCAGTGTTGCTTTGGCAGGATGCTTAGAGTTGTTGCCCTTTTTCTTGTAGAATTGCCCTGTACTTCATTTCATCTCTCTTGCCCTCAACCCTGACCAGTTTTCCAGTCCCTGCTGATGAAAAGCATCCCCACAACTTCATGCTACCTCCACCATGCTTTACTATGGGGATAGTGTTTTCAGGGTAATGAGCATTATTGGGTTTCCACCATATGTAGCACTTTGTGCAGAGGCCAGAATGTTACATTTTTGTCTCTTCGGACCAGAGAACTTTAATCCTGGGTTTGGCTTATTCTGTCAGATTTTAATAATGAATTTTAACAATGCTATGCAGAATGTTCAGATTTTGTAATATTTTTATAACCAAACCCTGATTGATACTTTTCCAGAGCTTTGTCCTGGAGTTGTTTTGATAGCTCCTTGGTCTTCATGATGATTTTTATATAGGTATGTTCTCTAACAAACTCTGGGGCCTTCCAGGATCAGGTGTATTTATATTGTGATCACATGACACTTAAGTTGCACACAGGCCAACTCCCCTTACCCCCTTGAAAATTATAGATTATTGTGAGTAATTTCATGACATACAATCCCACTTAATTCAACTTTAGTTCCAGATTGTAACAATTTTTTAAAAAATGTAGAAAAGTTCAAGCGTTATGAATACTTATGAAAGGCACTTATGAATGATCTTCATTCACAATAACTCATGTTGAATAATGACGTGCAGGAAGCTAGGCTCATTATATATTTGACCTATGTGTTTAAATCATGTAAGGGTCAGATGAAAAGGAGAAATGCAGCTTTTCCTAACACCAGCTAGTACTAAAATGTATGTGTGTATTTCAGGAAAGAGAGGGACAGAATATATGTGTTTTCTCCTCTTTAATCAGTCCTTCCACATCTGTCTCCACTCTTTTAGCCAGCAGAAATAGAGCGGGCAGTGAGCACTGGCAGGCAGGTCTGTCATTTAGATCATATAAATACCAGCAGGGCAAGGAGTGGTCAGCAGTTGAACCCAACAAGGCAGGGCAGCCCACAGCACATACGCACCGCAGTATTACAGAGCAGGCACCAAACCTGGATACAGACACCACACCACCATGTTCATCTCTCAGAGAAATGAAGATGGAACTGTATTACCCTGTGCTTTTATCATACAGAAAAAACCACTATCCACATATCGCATGACTGGGGTCCAAATCTGCCATGTGCTTAGCGAAAAGTAATATTAAGCATTTCTGAAATACTAGTAGCAATCATAGGCCCTGTACTGGAGGTCTGATATTCTTTCTGTGGTTTTACACACACACACACACACACACAAACACACACAAGGCCCCACAAGGGACTAGACTCTGTGGGTCTCATCACACACATCTCATCACACACAACATTCAGGTTTACTCAAAACAGTGACAAGATAAAAGTTATTCATGACGTTAAATAGTTTATTGCAGTAATGTCACATTAAGTTCAAATAAAGAGTGATAAGAAAAACGTATTGAATATTTCTCATTTACCATTCAAGAATCTGAAAACAAATTCTATAATAATTATAAAAACAATAATACAATATCTCATTAGTAAGAAGATTAAAAAAAAAAGTTTATGAGGCACAGAGGCTGATAAGTCCATGGAGAGCTATTGTTCATTGTTGGGTTTTTTTTTGCCAGTTGTTTCCTTCGCTGTCTACCTGCCAAAGAGCTTCATGAAATTCTGGAAGCCGTCTTCTCCGAAGAAGTCGAAGCTTCCCTGCATGCTGCCCAGGTGGACGAGAAGGAGTCCGAGAAGCCCGAGGAAAAGCAGCGGCACCAGCAGGTTCCAGCCGGAGGCCAGGATATTGTACCATTTAGCCTTGTCCGAGCACTCCTGAGCAGCACGCATGTCTCCCAGGGTCTTCTGGTCTCGTGCCTGTGGGTGGTGAGGGGCACACACACACATACACACACACACATACACACAACATATGTAATACAGACTCAAATTCATGATATGGTCTGGTTCTCTGGTTTGCCCTTTGCAGAATGAAGCTTTGTCCAGCCAAAACAAAAAGAGAAATAAACACAGAGAGAGACATCTAGACAGAGAGAGAGAGAGAGAGAGAGAATGGCTATGCTATTAGCTACCTACTAATTACACTCCATTTATAAACATGAGTGTCTCTAATTTCAGAATAACAGAGGAAGTGTGCCAGGCTACTGCCTCCTTTCTCTCTCTGTCTCTCTCTCTCTCTCTCTCTCACACACACACACACACACACACACATTCTTGTGCAGATGCTATTCTTGCTCTGCCCTCAGTCCAAAAGTGTTCAGCACTGTCTTTAAATCAGAGAACAACACACTTCGCTCAGCTGACCGGACACCTAATTAAGAGAAAAAAAATGCACCACACAAATTCCCAACTTTCAAAAGTTTACAGCAGTGACATACTAAATAAAAGCAGTTATTCTGATATTGTTTGCCTTCTCACTTTTCTTAAACTGCATTTCTGAAAAGCTGAGAGAAACGGAGACGGAAAGAAAGGCAAAAATTCAGACAACTAGAGACTCTTTCTCACCTTGATGGAATAAATGAGGGCCATGAAGCCGAGGCAGCAGAAGTTGATGTACAAGGTGTTGCAGAGGGACCAGACCAGATAGTCATTGAGAGGTTTTTTCGTCACAGGGCCCATGTTCACCACAGTGGAGCCGAGCGGCTTGCGTGAGGACTTACAGTTTGTAAGTGGAGTACAGTCAGATGAATAGCTGTACGTAGCGTTGTCCATCCTGCTGCTGGCCCGTGAGGAACTGATGCTGCTGTAGCGCTGATTCCACTGAGGCCCTGGAACCTGTGATGCTAACTTATATTCTCACCATGGATGGGTGGTGACTTAACGTGTGTATGTGTGTGTGTGTGTGTGTGAGAGAGAGAGAGAGAGAGAGAGAGCGAGAGGTCTGTTATTATGTCTGATGGATACTAGGCAAGATCAACCTCCATAACCGCCCTCTCTACTGTGGCTACACACATACACAGCTGCATACATCTATTATTTCTCCTGTTTTATTCATCAGTATTACCTCTGTCTTCTTGCAACTTCTCTTGATGTTTAATTAAAAAAGAAGCACAAACCATTTGATTACTGAAGAAACTTATACACAAAAAGTGCAAAAGTAAAATATTCTTTATGAACGTAACGAACATCCGTCCATCTTCTGTAGCGCTTATGCTACACAGGGTTGCTGGGAGCCTGGAGCCTATTCCAGGGGACTTGGGGCACAGGGTGCCAACTCATTGCAGGGCACAATCAAACACACTCGGGACAATCTGGAAATGCCAGTGAGCCTAAAACACATGTCTTTGGACTGGGGGAGAAAACCCCCAAGGCTTGGGGAGAACATACAAGCTCCAAGCACAGAGGGATTTGAACCCCCAACCCTGAAGGTGTAAGGCAACTGTGCTAACCACTACACCACTGTGCACCCACATAATGAACAATAGAATTAAAATATAGTCTTCCTTTAGGACGTAAGGAAAGTTGCCACTGCCCCCTAATGGACAAACTGCACTTTTTCACCTTTTCATGCTTGTCTCTAAACAGCTGGGGTCTGAAGGGGGACCACTAGAGGGCCAGTGCTGAACAAATATTATTTGGGTGTTTGATCATTCTTAGCACAGCAGTGACACTGACATTGTAGTGCCCTGGTACTTCTGGTACTAGGTTTATCAAGCACTAGAGTGTTCTTGGGGTTTTTAAAGACCTGCTTGTTCCAACCAAAAATATCTGGCCAAGAGCATTCTTCCTGACATAAACTGACCAGTGATAAAGAGCTAAAGGAGGATTAATAAAAAGCTGAGCACAACACTCATTACTGCTTTTGTTAGTGTCACTGCTGTGCTGGACATGATCCATCACTCAAATAATATCTCATAGCAGCTGTCCCATTGTGGTCCGTTTCCACTGACGAATGGTGTGTGTGTATATATATATATATATACACACACACAAAGTGCCCATATGGTAGTATATGGTAATAAGTGCTGCTAGAAGAACAACCCCAAAGTTGCTTAACATCATGCCACAAAATGTGTTATTCCTTACTATACAGCTATCCGAATTTTAAAATTCTTTTTGAATGATGTCCTAATTTTTGTCCAATTATTGTTCATATAATATTGTTGAAGATCCACAAAACTGGTTTTCACTTACATTATAGCAGCTATAAATAACCACCTCCTTTTTCCTCTCTTTTGATGTTTATAAAACAAAAATTGCAGCTTGTCCTGTTACAGAAAAACCACAACTTACAAACCTGTCTGTCCTAAGGAGGTTTTTTTTTTTTTTAATTTTTTGCAGCAAGAAACTTAAGAAGCAACTTTACCTCTAACTCTTACAAAGTACTGACCGCTTTCTGTATGCACACCCTGAGCCACCTAAACCTGATTCAAAAGAAGGAGTTGGGAAAGGTCCTGGGAGGTATATAAGCTGAGGTGTATTCATAGTCATGTGCTCACATCCATGGTGCCAGTCATGTTGACACACTTCCTGGTACGTTGCCTTACTGAGACCGGGTGGGAGTGAGCGACACAATGGCAGGACAGGCAGATGCCTTTGTAGGATGTACTCCCTCACTCTCTCCTCACTTCAATATTATTAATAATATTGATAAACTAGACAGAGTGAGCCAGGTCACTGAAACAGGAGAAACTGACTGAACACCTGGGGTAGATAAAACACTACACTGGTTAATAGCTCATTTCTAATCTGGCCACCAGGGGTCAAATCCAGCCACCTCTTTCTCTTATTGAGATTCCCTTCAATAAAATTGGTTTGGATCTTGCATAATGGGACCAATTTTGATGGTGTAGACAAGTGAAAATTCACTGAAATGGAGCACAGAGTGATTGTGAGTTGCTGATTGAGGTGGGGAAATGAGAGGTAGGTGATCGGTGCTGTTGCAGACAACATTGTTGACCTCAAATGAGTATCCCTTGTTCTTTATTTGTAGGTTGACAGTTGGGTTTTGACCTGAGGAAGAAGTTTATAGGTAATGTTAGCTACATTGGTCTTCTCAAACTGCTTTGGCAGTGTTAACAGTGAGTCTGTGGGTGTTGGTTTACCAAGCATGTTTTAATTCCATCATTTTAACTCCTCAAATTAGCCTTGCTTTTTCATGTTTAGCTGGATATAGCCAACTTAAGTGATGTTAGAGGTTATGTAAAGCTAGCTAGCTAGAAAAAGTGGTTCTATGAACACTGGATAACCACCAGGGGTGGAATTTTAACACCTGAATATCTTCTTGTGCACGTGTGCACAATGTGCACACATGCCAAAACCTTACCACAAAGTCATGTGGTAACCATATGACGCAGTCACACATATAGCATGGAAGCAGGAAGTAGAATTGGCTCTAGGACTACAGTATGCTGAGGACTCATCTAAAGGGCACAGGTTCTTGCTTACCTGGCTTCAGTTCTAACATCACTGATATCAGTTGAGACAAATCTAACACTAGATCATCCACATGCTTTGAAAGAGACTCTGAACTCTTTCTCAGCTTTTTATTCTACTTATCAGTCTTCATTGTCCATGAATTTTTATGGTTTGCAGACTTTTTAGGCTGTGCAGGCTGTGGTACTTGCATCAGTTTCCACTCAATGTCTGCCAATCAAGCATGCCGTGATGGCATTAGCATCGCTGCACATTTCTTAACCTTTGCAAGCTCAGTGGTATGAAGATGGAGAGCCACTTGACCACACCAGTGGCAGATATCACAGTCCCATGATGGCAGGTGATGTGAGAAAACCTCAGGGACACCTCAGTGATTAGGTGATATGTTATGTGAAAAACCTAGTTAACACAGGTACTACCATTGTCTTGGTGTCCTTTTCTTTGAAGGCTGGTGATGAAGTTTGGCGTATCGGTTTGAAGCCCTACCCAACAGCTCTGACTGCACTATATATGCACTGCAGAGTCTCAGATGTCAAGTTCACAGGTCCATTATTAAATATTCCTACAGAAAAAAATTCTTCATATATAGTGTTTTGACAGTACATCACGATCTATTTTTATATGCAATTGTCAGATTTTTCAGATGTTTTGAAAATGAGGAGATAATAGCAGAAAGTGCAATTTTCCTGTATGTGACAGTCTCAAATGACACAGGGCCATTATTCAAAATTTCTACAGTAATTTTTTTTCATTGTATTTACACAGTACATTAAACATATTTATATATGTAATTGTCATGTTTTGAAATGCTATATGAAATAAGCAGATTTTTCTGCACAGCATTCACTGAATTGTATATAGTCATGAGAAAAAGAAAGTACACCATCCTTCAATTCTATGTTTTTATTTATCAGGTCCTAAATAACAATTGGTCCTCACCAACCTCTATAAACATACAAATAACCTCAGGTGACAACAAATGAACATAACAGATTTTAATATGTGGTCTTTTTTCCCAAAAGATAAACCGACATTTAGAAACCAGGTGCAAAAAAAATAAGTACACCCTTCCTACTCCCACAATCATTAAGAGAGTGATTAGCAGCCAGGTGTTACTGGGAATTGCACAAGATTAGTTAATCATCACGAAGTGTGACTACCTCTATAAAAGCAGAACTTTTGGCAGTTTGGTGTTCTGGAGCACTCAGGTGTGTGTCTACATCATGCCAAGAAGAAAGGACATCAGCCATGACCTCAGAGAAGCAAATGTTGCTGCTCATCAATCTGGGAAGGGTTATAAGGCCATCTCCAAACAATTTGAAATTCACCATTCTACAGTGAGAATGATTGTTTACAAATGGAGAACCTTCAAGACAGTTGCCAATCTTCTCAGTAGTGGGCATCCCAGCGAATTCAGTCCAAGGTCAGACCATTTAATGCTCAGAGAGATAAAGAAAAACCCAAGAGCTACATCATGTTACCTACAGGCCTCAGTAAGCACATAAAATGTTTATGTGAAGATGTTTTGTCATCATGCACAGTGCCATGTTTGGTGAAAACCAAACACAGTGTATCGCCACAAATACCTCACACCAGCTGTCAAGCATGTAAGTATGTTTTGCAGCCACAGGACCTGGGAAACTTGCAGTCACTGAGACAACAATGAACACCAATTTATACCAGAATATTCTTAAGACAAATGTGAGGCCATCTGTCCAGCAGCTGAAGCTGGGCTGGGATTGGGTCATGCAACAGGACAATGACCCCAATCACACCAGCAAATCGACATCTGAATGGCTAGAAAAGAAAAAAATCAAGGTATTGGAATGGCCAAGTCAAAGTCCTCATTTTCAGACCAATGATTTTTTGTTAAGACCATTAAAAGCTTAATATTTGCCATTTTGGGCTTGGCCTATTTTTTTGCCCAAGAGTGTAGAGACAGAGCTACATCATGTGGGTAAAAGAGAGAAAGAGGGAGAAAGTGTGTGGGTGTGTGTGTGTTTGTACCGAGGGTTTTTGCATGCATGTGGTTATACATGTTGTGCTGAGCACATGGAACTTTATTATCATGTGATATAATGCAAATCCTCTTAGGTGAAACAGGAAAATAACAGATAAGAAAAATATGGTGGGGAGTTCAAAGATTCCACACATGGTGGATGGTCAGAGATAGTATCTACAGGGTGTCCCGAAAGTCTCCATACATAGGGGAAATTAACACTTCTTTGCAAAATGTTTTACCCTATGTTCACACTAGGGAGTGACAAGTTGCTTATATTACTTGTAGTTTGTCTCTTGGGACACGTATCAACTGTTGCTAATATCACTTGTGGGTGTGTACTGTTCAGCATATAATTTTTTTTGGTTCTAATGAGAAATGCTAGTAGCCAATCTTTAGAAGATCATGAGATCGAATCCCTACGATGCCAGAGCAATCCATGGCTGGGAGCCAAACAGAATTGTTAGGAGAGAGCTGGCTGGGGTAGGAATTGGCAGGTGACCAAATTAGGAAAAAAAAATGTGTTTGTTTGATTTACATGTTAGATGCAAGGCTTCATACTAGCTTAGTTAGCAGGTTAACAAATCAAGGTAATGTACACTCACCAGAGGCACCAACATTACATAAAAGTACAGGAAGTGGAAATACCTTGATTTTAGTCAAAGTTATCTAGTATTTCCTATTATAAGATTACAATAAACCAAATAAAGAATATTAAACCTATTTCTAGCCTTTTATTCTAATTTCAAGCTTTAAAATAGTCTTGTTCTATTGGCAGATAATTTTGGTGATTGCAAGCAGTTTTTTTTAGAATAAGAATAAAAATTTAGAATAAAATTTAAAGCTGAAAATGAGTCATTCTTGTATGTATTTGGTTTACTGCAATCTTATAACACAATATAATAGATACATTTGATTATATTCAAGATATTACCACTTGCTAAGATGAAATTTTTTGCAGTGAACAATCTCTGCCACTTCCTACCAAGCTTTGTTTTTCTTTGTAAAGTGTCTTTGACAGGATATGGTG